CTGGATCTAGAGGTTTACAAGTTGATTTCTTTTTTTTTGAGAGAAGGAAAGAAAAAAAAAATAAGTAAAGGAGAGGAAGAGAAAGAGGGAGAGTAAATGGAAATATTGCTTTATTTTGAAAAAAATTGGGTATTAATAATGGCCAATCAATGTTTCATTTAAACTTATGGGTAGGTGTGATGTGGTATTGACAAGAATGTATATTTTGTGTATTTGAAGTGGAGAGCTCTATAGATATTTATTAAGTTTATTTGTTCTGGATCTGAGTTCGAGTCCTTGATATCCTTATTAATTTTCTGTCTCATTGAATCTAAGTCTCCTATCTGGGTGTTAGGATCGTTAGCTCTTGTTGTTGCATTGATCCTTTTACCACTATATCTTTGTTGCTTTAAAATCTATTTTATCTGATACAAGAATTGCAACTCCTGCTTTTTATTTATTTATTATTTATTTTTGCTCTCCATTTGGTTGGTAAATCTTTCTCCATCCCTTTGTTTTGAGTCTTTGTGTATCCTTGCATGTGAAACAGGTCTGGATGTAACATGCCGTTGGGTTTTGGCTGTGTCTTTTGATCGGGAATGTAGTCAATTTAAATTTAGGGTTACTGCCATTTGATGTTGACTGGCTGTTTTATCCATTTGTTGGTGTAAATTCTTCTTTATGTTGGTGCTCTTTACTTTTTGATGTATTTTTAGAAAGGCTAATACTGGTTGTTTCTTTCTGTGTGTAATGCTTCTTTCAGAAGCTCTTGTAAAGCAGGCCTGGTGGTAATAAAATCTCTGAGTTCTTGCTTGTTCATAAAAGATTTTATTTTTCCTTCAGTGGTGAAGCTTAGTTTGGCTGGATATGAAATTCTGGGCTGAAGGTTCTGTTCTTTGAGGATGTTGAATATTGGCCCCCACTCTCTTCTGGCCTGTAGAGTTTCTGCCGAGAGATCTGCTGTAAGTCTGATAGGCTTGCCTTTGTGGGTAATCTGACCTTTCTCTCTGGCTGCCCTTAGTATCCTCTCCTTCGTTTCAACCCTGGTGAATCTAACGATTATGTGCCTTGGGGTTGGTCTTCTTGAGGAATATCTTTGTGGTGTTCTCTGTATTACCTGGGGTTGAATGTTGACCTGCTTTGCTAGTTTAGGAAAATTTTCCTGAATAATATCCTGAAGGGTATTTTCCAGCTTGGATTCATTCTCTCCGTCGCATTCAGGTACACCTATCAAACGTAAATTTGGTCTTTTCACATAGTCCCACATTTCTTGGAGACTTTGCTCATTCCTTTTTATCCTTTTTTCTCTAATCTTTTCTTCACGTTTTATTTCATTAAGTTGGACGTTGACCTCTGATATCCCTTCTTCTGCTTGAACAATTCGAGTGTTTAAACCTGTGCATACTTCTCGGAGTTCCTGTATTGTACTCTTCAGTTCCATTAATTCACTCACACTCCTCTCTAAGTTGTCTATTCTCAATAGGATTTCATCAAACCTTTTTTCAAAGTTCCTAGTTTCTTTACGTTGGGCTACAACATGTTCTTTTAACTCACCGAAGTTTGTTATTATCCATTCCTTGAAGAGTGATTCTGTCATCAGGAGGCGCTCGTTCTCCATCAAGCCTTGTTCCATTGTTGATGTGGAGCTGTGATCATCTTTAGAGGGAGAGGCATTCTGACTTGAGTATTCTCAGCCTTTTTACGCTGGTTTCTTCCCGTCATTGTAAATTTATCCTCCTGTCGTCTTTGAAGTTACCAACTTTCAGATTAGGTCTCTTGAGTGGACGTCCAGGTTGTTAGTTCCCAGGGCCAGAGCAGCGGCGTTAAAACTGATGGTGCTTTTCTGCCCAGGATTCTCCTGTCTGGCTTCCTTCTTGTGTCCGTAGTAGGCGACTCTGCCTTCCCGAGTCTCCAAACCTCGGTCAGAAGGGGAACCCGTCCCGTTTACTCTGCGCCAAGCGCTGCCGCCTCGAGGTGCCGGTGGAACCGCTGCGCCGACCACGAGAGTCGCGCTGGCGACTCCTGTGTTTCCACCACTGGGGGATCTTCTGCTTTGTGAGCGACCAGACTTTGTCTGAAAGTGTGGTGTCCTCTAGTTCTCTGCGCCTTCCCTGAGAGCTGCAATCCCGGGATGTTAGCGATCGGCCATCTTGGATCGTTCTCCCGGTAGAAGTGTTTTTTAACTTCTAAGTTTAGGGGTACATGTGTAGGATGTGCAGGTTTGTTAATAGGTAAACATGTGCCATGGGGGTTTGTTGTACAGATTATTTCATCAGCTAGGTATTCAGCCTGGTATCCACTAGGCTAATGATTAGGTGATGATGGTGCCTAGTTTTTTAATTTGTTGACAACAGAATTCCTATGACTTGGAGCACTTTCCAAATGGACTGGACTACTAAGTAGTTCAGAAGTACTTGTTTCAGATTTTTAATAGAATTGGATTTTGTCAGAGTCATTATGTAAGTATTGGGTTTCAATAATTATTTGTCAGTCATTGACTATCCAGATTTTTCCTGGTCCTCTCCCCTCTGACACCTTTCACCTTCCGGTGGGCCCCAGTATGTGTTGTTCCCCTCTATGTGTCCTCATCATGTAGTTCCCACTTATAAGTGAGAACATGTAGTATTTGGTTTTCTGTTCCTGTTAGTTTGGTGAGGATAATGGCTTCCAGCTCCATCTATGTCCCTGGAAAGGATATGATCTTATTCCTTTTTATAGCTGCATAATGTTTCATGGTGTATATGTATAATTTTTTAAAAAATATTTTTCTATATGATCTCTGAATTCCTTTTTTTTTTTTTTTTTTTTGAGACAGAGTCTTGCTCTGTTGCCTAGGCTGGAGTGCAGCGGCATGATCTCAGCTCACTGAGATAAACTCTGCCTCCTGAGTTCAAGTGATTGTCCTGCCTCAGCCTCCCTAGTAGCTGGGATTACTTCACTGACATTAATTCATTACTTCATGGTGGTGGCCTGGTATGCCACCACATCCAGCTAATTGTTTTGTATTTTTGGTAGAGATGGGATAGAGACCTCAGACTAATTTTTTTGTGTTTTTGGTAGAGATGGGGTAGACATGTGCCACCATGCTTGACTAATTTTTTGTATTTTTCGTAGAAACGGGGTTTCAGTGTGTTTGCCAGGATAGTCTCAATCTCTTGACCTCTTGATCAGTCGGCCTTGGCCTCCCAAAATGCTGGAATTACAGGCACGCCTGGCCTATTTTTTAATTTTTTAAGAGACAGAGTCTCACTTTGGCACCCAGGCTGGAATGCAGTGGTATGATCACAGCTTACTGTAGCCTCCAACTCCTGGCCTCAAGCTATCCCTTCACTTTGGCCTCCCAAAGTGCTGGGATAACAGGTGTGAGCTACCATGCCTAGCCATGTTGTTTACCTTTATAACTATAGTGTTATATAACAGTTACTTATTTGTAAAGTAATTCTTTGCAAAGTAATTATTATATTTCTATTTCCTTTTCTCTCCCACTCACCTACCATCACCTACCATCTGATTTTAGAAGATATCTTATTTACTTTAGTGTTTTGTTTTTTCATTTTGTTTCAAGATAGGATCTTGCTCTGTTGCCCCGGCTGAAGTGCAGTGGCATGATCATAGCTCACCACACTCATTGCAGCCTCCAACTCCTGGGCTCAAGTGATCTTCCCACATCAACTTCCCAAGCAGCTGGGACTAGAAGTACGCCCAACCACACAAGGCTAATTTTTAAAGTTTTGTAGAGATGGGGTCTCACTATGCCCAGGCTGGTCTCAAATTCCTGGCCTCAAGTGATTCTCTTGCTTTGTCCTCCCAAGTCACAGGGATTACAGGTGTGAGCCACTGCACCTGGCTTATACATATCTTGTTTATATATTCTATATCATTTGTGCATTGTTGCACTTAAAATGTTCACTTTCTACTTTGTAACCATGATGCCCACATTTGTATAAGATTTAGTCCTGCATTAAATGGATTCAATACTCATGTTGTCTTTTACTTTGACAGTTTGATTGGGTATAAAGTTCCTGAATCATACTTGATTTTCTTGAGCATTTTGAGAGCTGTATTCTGTATTCCAGTGGTTTCTTTCCCTTTAAAGGTGGCAACATTTTTTTTTCTGGTTAGTGTTAATCTACCATTTGCATTTATTTCTTATTTCTTCCTAATTTCTTACATCTTTTATTAGGTCCTTGATTGGTTCCTCTTTGATTGTTTCTTATAATAAAGTGTGAGTCCTTGGAGGACTATTTGTAGGAGGTTCATTTGGGGGAGAGGCCATGACTTTGTTTTAGGCTAGCAGGAATTTACCATAATTCACAATAGTGTTTGTTATCACATATGCCTGAGTGTGGGATTGAATTCTATTAGCTTTAATTTCTCTAAAACGTACAGTTGCAAGTTTGTTCATAATGAATTGTTTTGCCTTCTACTCTGCCTCACTGAGAGATTGTTTCTGGCCAATTTGTTTCTGTGTGATTCCTTATCCAGCCCTTCTCCCCTGCTGTTTCTTGGTGCCATTCAGTTCTAGGGATGTTTTCAGTGCTGCCTATGAGCCTTATTTTCATTATATTAAAGAAGGACTTTTTTGTCTTTTCAGGGTATGTCACTGGCTTTTGTGTTCTCTTGCCTAATTACAAAGTGTGAACTCTTGCTCTGCTAGCTTTGTAGCCACAGATGATATTTTGGTGTCTTCCTATACTCCTGTTTGACCTTGATTACATTTGGTAGTCCCATCCCTGTTGTGAGTAGGGGTCATAGGTCCCTCTTAGTTTCATCAAAGATGGAGTTACACTTCTTTTTCTTGTTGGCTTTATTTTGTTCTCTGAGAGGAGAAAAGAGCAATATAGTCTCTCAACTGTAGTTTAAAAACCAGAATATACTTTTGCAATTTACACTGTATATGCATTTTATTTGTTTTTCTCATGCTAAGATCTATTTTAAATTATAATTAATTGCTAATAATTTTTCTTATATAAACTATTTTGCATTTTTTATAACAGCTGTTTTGCATTTTTTTGTAATAGCAATTGAGGCATGAAAATTTGGTGAATCTCTTGGAAGTGTATAAGAAGAAAAAACGATGGTACCTAATTTTTGAATTTGTTGACCACACAATTCTTGATGACTTAGAGCTCTTTCCAAATGGACTAGACTACCAAGTAGTTCAAAAGTATTTGTTTCAGATTATTAATGGAATTGGATTTTGTCACAGTCACAATGTAAGTATTGGGTTTAAATAATTTGCTTTATCACATAATTATTCATTCATTAATCATTTAATCTGTCTTACCGATTTATGCATTTGAAAATAAGTTGCAGACATTAGTACACTTTGACACTAAATACTTCATCTATACATCTCATTAATTGGAGTTACATATTTATTTTCTTTTTTTCCAAGATGGAGTCTTGCTCTGTCGCCCGCGCTCAGGTAGAGGTTGATCCCGGCTCACTGCAACCTCCGCCTCCCAGGTTCAAGCAATTCTCTTGTCTTAGCTCCCCAAGTAGCTGGGATTACAGGCATGGGCCACCACGCCCAGCTAATTTTTGTATTTTTAGTAGACATGGGGTTTCATCATGTTGGCCATGCCTGTCTCAAACTTTTGACCTCGTGATCTACTTGCTTTGGCCTCCCAAAGTGCTGGGATTACAGGCATAAGCCACCGCTCCTGGCCTTGTTTTCTGTTCTTTTTTTCTTTTTTTATTGTACTTCAGGTTCTGGGGCACATGCACAGATCACATTTACTAAGTGAAATGCACAAATGCTAAGTGATGAATTTTGACAAATGTATAGACCCAAGGGTCTGTGTATTTATTAGTTTGTGTTCTCTTGCCTAATTACAAAGTGTGAATATATGAAAATTTCTACCCTTACCCTGTAGTCTGTTGCAATAATTTTATAACCTTTGAGTTTCATATAAAAGCACCTCCAAGATGAGTGATACCTATAAAGTATAAATGAATAGCTCAGCACATAGATTTTGCCAGTTTTACAAAATATTTTAAATGCCATTTTTGTGTGATTATAAAAGTAATAAATGTTGTTAGAAGAGTTAAAAACTAAAGATAATTATGAAGAAAGAAAAAATCATTTTACATACCTGCCACCTAAATGGATATATTTATTTTTTGTTGTTATTAGTATTCACTGTCTTTAATTTATAAACTGTCTTTTATTGTGTAGTTTTATTATGTTATTGAGTTATAGTGTGAAGTTTACGTGTGTGTGTGTGTGTGTTAGAAAAATTGCTCAGTAGAGGCAGATACCTAGTTTCTACTGGGAAAAACACTGTCCTTTTTAGGAGGCCTCCCATAGTGGCCTCCTGGAAACTTTGGATTGATCTGGGCTTAGAAAATCTATTTTGAGAAATGTAATTTTGAGACTCTATCTGTCTCTTAGGGCAGACTCACATTGACCAAACCTGGGAGGCTGAATGCCAGTTTACTAAATTGCAAAAAGAGGTAATAGTTACAGGGAAGAAAGATATATAAAACATAATAATAATAATGTTGGTTTTTGCAAGAAATCAGATCAGCATGAGGCGTTATTGAATCAAATACTTAATGGTATCAATTTAAAAGATATTGATTCATCTTTCTTCATAAAAATGATGATATCTTCCCAATGGGCCTGTAATACTTGAAGTTAGGTGGCTGGAAACCTTACATTCATCTCTGTACTAAAGATAGGCTTGCCGGTGGAACCAGCAAGCAAAAAGAATCATTGTCTCTCTCCCTCTAGAAGCGCATTTGAATGTGCTCTGCTTATATTGCTTCTGTGTCCCTTTATTTTTATACTTTCCTGATGAATCAACCCATGTTTAATAACATATTCTACCTTTAGATGTACAGATGCATCTAGGCAGTTTAGAGTCAAGTACTGCTGGCATGAGTGCCATTCTGTCTTTAAGGAAAGAGATTTTATACTGGGCATGGTGGCTCATGACTGTAATCCTAGCCCTTTGGGAGGCCAAGATGGATGGATCACTTGAGGTCAGGAGTTAGAAACCAGTCTGGCCAAAATGGTGAAACCATATCTCTACTAAAAATACAAAAAATTAGCCAAGCATGGTGGCAGGTGCCTGTAATCTCAGCTACTTGGGAGGCTGAGGCAGGTGAATTTGCTTGTACCCAGGAGGCAGAGGTTGCAGTGAGCTGAAATGGCGCCACTGCGCTCAAGCCTAGACAACACAGTGAGATTCTGTCTCAAAAAAAAAAAAAAAAAAAGAAAAGAGATTGTAAACTCCAGTGCTTCTCTGCTAAACTTCAGAGCATTTACATATCTCTGTATGGAAAATGTAAATTTTTATGGGTGGAGAACTGATCTCACTCTAATTTATGAACACTTGTCTCAAGGGAGCATTAGTGTTATTAGGGTTGCCTGGCAGTCATACTACTTTTTTTCTAGTCCATGTACTCTTTTTTTTTTTTTTTTTTTTTTTTGAGATAGACTCTCACTCTGTCACCCAGGCTGGACTGCAATGGCATGATCTTGGCTCACTATAACCCCTGTCTTGTGGATTCAAGCAGTTCTCCTGCCTCAGCCTCGCAAGGAGCTGGGATTACAGGTGTGCATCACCATGCTTGGCTAATTTTTGTATTTTTAGTAGAGATGGGGTTCTACCATGTTGGTCAGGCTGGTCTCGAACTCCTGGCCTCAAATGTTCTTCCCACCTTGGCCTCCCAAAGTGTTGGGATTACAGACTTGAGCCACTGTGCCCAGCCTCCATTTGCTCTTATTTATTTTATTTAATTTTTTTTGAGAGGGAGTCTCACTCTGTCACCCAGGCTGGAGTGCAGTGCTGTGATCTCGGCTCACTGCAACCTCTGCCTCCCGGGTTCAAGCAATTCTCTTGCCTCAGCCTCCTGAATAGCTGGGATTGCAGGTGCCCACCACCACACTTGGCTAATTTTTGTATTTTTAGTAGAGATTGAGTTTCACCATGTTGGTCAGGCTGGTCTCGAACTCCTGACCTCATGATCCGCCCGCCTCAGCCTCCCAAAGTGCTGGGATTATAGGCATGAGCCATTGCAACCCACCTCCTCCATTTACTCTTAAACTCTTCTAGATTATGATTTCTTACCCTCTTTCTTCTCAAACCCTAGTACCTCTTCTCCAGTCCTTACTCCCAGCCTCCAGTTAAATGGAGATAATAATAGTATCTATCCATAGGGTTATTGTGAGAATAAAATGAGTTAAAACATGAAAAACACTTAGAATAGTGCCTGACACATAAGTGTTCAAGTGTTAGCTATTATTATTAAAGGTATTTTTTAGGTTTGTTTTCTGGGCAGTTAGCATTTCACTTCTTAATGCAGACAGATAATAATGGTAAGGGTTGGAATAAATAAACACACACATACATACACAAATAGAAACACATATATGTACACATAAGGATGAGATGCCAGACTTTATGAAAATGAAAACATTTATTCTTGAATATATTATTCATTTTTATATGTATCTATATATGTGAGCACTTGAATTTTTTTTTTTTTTGAGACGGAGTCTCGCTTTGTCACCCAGGCTAGAGTGCAATAGTGTGATCTTGGCTCACTGCAACCTTTGCCTCCCAAGTTCAAGCGATTCTCCTGCCTCAGCCTCCTGAGCAGCTGAGATTACAGGCACGCGCCACCATGCCCAGAAAATTTTTTTGTATTTTTAGTAGAGACAGGGTTTCACCATGTTGGCCAGGCTGGTCTAGAATGTCTGACCTCGTGATTCGCCTGCCTCAGCCTCCCAAAGTATTGGGATGACAGGCGTGAGCCACTGAACCCGGCCAACACTTAAATTTTTAAAAATATAAATATTAGTTTAATCCTTTTGTGAGCCAGACTGAATAAGATATTTAAAAATAAATTTAAGGTTGCTGTCAATTCAAGTTTGATCCAAATAGTATAGAGCATTATGAGTTTTGTAGAACTCCAAACAACTTTTTTACTGAAGTTACTAGGTATTATAAATTATTTAGATTATACCTAGTATTAAAGACCCATGTTAGAGCCTACCCTTTTCAAAATACTTTCTCTGGCCACCCCAGTCTGCAATGAAGGGTTTTAGGGGAAATTCTACTCATATCATCTTGGTTATACTTAGGATCTATTGTTGTTACCATAAGTAATAAGGTATTAGAGTTGGGAAGTATCGTGATGATCAGGCACTATAGCCCCCTCATTTGTGGGATGAGAAGATAGACCTAGAAAGATTGAGTTGTCTCCGGCTGTACTGAAAACCAGGGACCAGACCCAGGTCTCTTTACTTGCATTTTAGCTCCTTCTACCACAGCATAGGTGGTCTGAGCCTGGATCTGTGTCCTCACCATTGATATCTAGGGTAAAAAAAGTTGGTAGCCTGTACAACATGCTCGGCAATGGCAGATTGCCACTTAGAATGCCGGTCTTCTAAAAGACTTGAAAACAAATCTATCTTTTCAAAATACAGTTTGCTTATATTAGATAATTAGGCCTGATAATGTCTTTTGCTTAACTGTAGATTTTTAAATGTTATCTGAATACTAGTATCCTGTTTTATTCTTCCAATATCTCCTTCAGAAATCTTAACCACTGACGTTTTTGTTTACTCTTTACATTTCTAATTGCCTGATGAATGTCTATACTTGAGTGCTCAGCATTCCACTCAAAAGTCAATATGATTAAAACTAAACTAATTACTCCATTAAAACTAACTTTCTCGGCCGGGCGCGGTGGCTCAAGCATGTAATCCTAGCACTTTGGGAGGCGGAGGCGGGTGGATCACAAGGTCAAGAGATCGAGACCATCCTGGTCAACATGGTGAAACCCCGTCTCTACTAAAAATACAAAAAATTAGCTGGGCATGGTGGCGCGTGTCTATAATCCCAGCTACTTAGGAGGCTGAGGCAGAAGAATTGCCTGAACCCAGGAGGCGGAGGTTGCAGTGAGCCGAGATCGCGCCATTGCACTCCAGCCTGGGTAACAAGAGCGAAACTCCGTCTCAAAAAAACAAAACAAAACAAAACAAAACAAAAAAAGAACCAACTAACTTTCTCTAGACTTTTCTATTTTTGAAAATGGAACACCATTCTTTTGAATTATCAGGTTCAAACAAAATATCTAAGACTCCTTCTAAATTCTATTTTATTTATTTATTTATTTTTAAGATGGACTCTGTCTTCCAGGCTGGAGGGCAGTGGTGCGATCTCGGCTCATTGCAACCTCTGCTTCCGCGGTTCAAGAAATTCTCCTGCTTCAGCCTCCCAAGTAGCTGGGATTACAGGCATGCACCACCACACCCAGCTAATTATTTGTTTTTAGTAGAGACAGGGTTTGACCAGGTTGGTCAGGCTGGTCTCAAACTCCTGACCTCAAGTGATCCGCCTGCCTTGGCCTCCCAAAGTGCCGGGATTACAGGCGTGAGCCACTGTGCCCGGTCTATTGATTCTTGATTTAATGTATTTCCAAACTACATCTCCTCCCTTCCATTCCTCTGAATACCAGCCTAGTTTAGGTCCTTATCACCTCATACTGGTCCCACTGCTCTTCTTCCTGCCTCTCGTCTTTCTCTCTGATTTAGCTCATATATGGTCAAGATCATCTTTAAATACCACATTGTCTGTCACTTCCATGAGTTCCCAGGGTCTTGCCACACTTCCTAGTCTGACGGCTAAGATATTTCTTCTCTGCTTCCTACAACTAGAAAAAAAGTTTTCCCACAATTTCTTATCTATTCCCATTTCCATTCTTGCTTTCTTTGTCACATTCACTTAGATTGCCCTTCTTTTTATTTATCTAGATCATACTTAGTATTAAAGGCCTGTGTTAGAGCCCACCCTTTCATAAAAATTTTCCGACTGCCCCAGCTTCAATGATAGCTTTACTCTCTTAGTTTTGAGAGCAGTCATTAACATAACAGTTGATTTAGTAATTTGAAAAAATATATTTCATCCAATATTTTTGATTGTTTAAATAAAATTTCAAGTATAAATATTCTTTCTTGACCAACTAGGTCCTAGGTTATTTACTTTCTATGCTTTTGTTTGTATTCTTTATAGTGACAAAATGCAATACCCTGCACATAGGAGGTGCCTCAAAATAATTAATTTTATTTAACATCTGTCACACTCTGTTTCTTGTCTTAGATCATACACAGAGATATAAAGCCAGAGAATATATTAGTCTCCCAGTCTGGCATTGTCAAGCTATGTGATTTTGGATTTGCACGTACATTGGAAGCTCCTGGGGAGGCTTATACTGATTATGTGGCAACACGGTGGTACAGAGCTCCAGAACTATTGGTTGGTGACGTCAAGTATGGCAAGTAAGACAGCAATGATGGGGAGGAGTAGATTTTAACTCTTGCTTCTTGCTACAGTGGAATGTTTGTTATATAATAAATGATTCCTCTAATACTGGAAGGAAGGCTAGAGTTTAGGGAACTATATAAGGTGGTTTGTAATCATTTTTGGTGCTTCCCCTTAAACATTCTTGTGAAACAAGTATACTTATTTTAAAGGCGGGGAAATTAAGTGGTCTATTTTATACAGTGCGTCAGAAATAGACATATTTATCACTTGTAAAGAGAGGTTAACATTGCTTGGTTAAATGTGACATTGTTGAAATAGGGCAAGATGGAGTAAGCAAAGGTGGGGGCAGAAATATAATTAAGTAAAATGTTTTTAAAACATAAATTGTCTTCACAAGGGAATTCTTCAAAGAAGAAAGGATTGTAACGTTTACCGTTTTTGATAGAAATCTTTCTAAAATATTTTCTATAATTTCTGTTTTCAGAGCACACTAAACATTATTTATTATTTTATTGATTACTCTGAGTTCTCATTTTGCTAACGTTAGAATTTTTGTGCCATTTTATAATTCAGCAATAACCTTAAATGTTTTAAGGTAGTTGTTCCTATGTCAAATGATACTTGCATATTCTTTGAATTTTTTTTTTTTTTGAGACGGAGTTTCGCTGTTGTTAGCCAGACTGGAGTGCAATGGCGCGATCGCAGCTCACCACAACCTCCGCCTTCTGGGTTCAAGCAATTCTCCTGCCTCAGCCTCCCGAGTAGTTGGAATTACAGGCACGTGCCACCATGCCCAGCTAATTTTTGTATTTTTAGTAGAGACGGGGTTTCACCTCGTTGACCAGGATGGTCTTGATCTCTTGACCTCGTGATCCACCCGCCTCGACCTCCCAAAGTGCTGGGATTATAGGCGTGAGCCACCGCGCCCGGCCTGAATTCTTATAACTGATTTGTAAGATAGTTTAAAATTTTTTATCCCTATCAGCCTTCAGTTCTCTTCACTGTGACTGTATTTATCCTTAGCAACCACCTCCTCTTTCTGGTATGCTGTTTTCAGTAAGCTATGGCATAGCATAGATTGGTCCAGCTTGCTAGAGTTATGTGTAAACAAAGAAATGAATAGGCTCTAAATGGAGCCTGAAAATTTTATTTCCAGAATAAAGTATACATAATAACAGTTTTGGTCTTTCAGAAAGCATTTTCCTTTTATGTCAGATGATTGAAGTTTCTAGAAAGCTCACTTATGCAAAATTGGGAGTTAGAACATTAATAGGGAAATATCTTTTCATGGGTAATTTAAGGGTTACTATAGGTTGAATATTCCTTATCCTAAATGCTTGGGACTGGAAGTGTTGCAGATTTCAGGTATTTTTTTAAAATTTTATTTTAGGATATTTGCATTATATCAGTGGAGCATCCCAAATCCAAAAATATGAAATCTGAAATGCTCCAGTTGACATTTCCTTTGAGCTCACCTCAGTGCTTAAAAAGTTTTGGGTTTTGGAGCATATTAGGATGGCAGATTTTACACAACATTGCTTTTCTTTCAGGGCTGTTGATGTGTGGGCCATTGGTTGTCTGGTAACTGAAATGTTCATGGGGGAACCCCTATTTCCTGGAGATTCTGATATTGATCAGCTATATCATATTATGATGTGTTTAGGTAAGATTACACATCTGCATTTTAAATTATAGAGATTTTTCTGTGCATTTGTGTGTGTGTGTTTGTGATTTTTTAAGCTATTACATTAAAGATTATATACGTTTTAAGTGAAGGAAGGGAGCATATAGGAAAATTGTGTGTGTGTTTTAATTTATTTTTTCTCTTCAGTTTGGCATTGGTCTATCTGATGCATGTTCTTAATCACACTCACCTCCCCTTTTCCCTCAACAGAGAGGAAAAGAACAGAGGTTGTGCGTTTCTCTGCACTTTTACATATAGTTAATTACATGTAGAGAGGATGCAATGATCATTTATTATTTTTGAGTTAGTAAGTATTTGGTATAATATAACTACTGTCCTTACTTTCATATTCAAGAGGAGAGACACAGAGATTTCCAAGGTTGCTTAATCTTGCCTCAGATTTGGACTTTTGCTGTTAGTACTTTTGGCAGAATTTCAAAGCTGGACTATGAACATCTGACGTTTATTGAAATATCAACTTCGAATTTGAGGATGGAACTTGGAAATAACTATTTAACTATTTGATTTGAAGTTTTCAGATTAGAAATTCAATAAGCAGTACAATGGCTTCTTACAGTGGAATTTTCAGATATATTTTACATTCAAGTAGATACTAAAGTTGAGAAAAAAGATGAAGTGCTCAAATCTGACCTTAATATAAGCACAAAATCAGTTGACCAAATATTAAATTCTTAAAGGGGTAGAACTGATTTATCTAGATTAGATCCTGTCCATATGACTATTAATATTTTTATTGTTTTGTTCAGCCCTTTATGCTTTGTAGTTAGAAACAAAGTGCTGGTACTTATATCTGGGAGGTTATAAAATATTCTTTACTTGTCCTTTTCCTACACTCCTTAATACTGCTGTGTATCGCCACAGTAACAGCATTGTCTTTAGTCAATTTTGCATGTTGAGAGAGCCCAAACTCCATAAACTGTGTTCTGCTATTTCCTCTATTTCAAACCTCCTATCTCTTTACCACTTCTATCAAGTTGTATAATAACAGAGATATGTGCTGTTTTCACTTCCAGGTAATCTAATTCTAAGACATCAGGAGCTTTTTTATAAAAATCCTGTATTTGCTGGAGTAAGGTTGCCTGAAATCAAGGAAAGAGTACCTCTTGAAAGACGTTATCCTAAGCTCTCTGAAGTGGTGATAGATTTAGCAAAGGTAACCATATTTTTTGTTTATACTTTCTGACAGGTAATTTATGCACTATTGAGACTTGTTTTTTCTTTTTTTCTTGTCTAGTTGATCTTTTAGATCAATAATTTTCTCTAATGATTTTAATTTTTATGCATTTAGAAATAATTTAAATAATTTGATGGGGGTAACTTCAGAGAAAAAGGACTGAAAATTTTACCTGTTCTAAAACTCAGTAAGAAACCATTTAGTGTTATCTAGCATTTTGTAAATGTGAAAACATCCTCATTGAAAAACATATTTAAAACCTAAAAACACTGCATAATTTTAATGTTTAACATTTAAAATGCAAGCCTTGTGTAAATGGAAAATAAAATAAAATTAGGATAAGAAAATAAAAAGGGGCCAGACACAGTGGCTCATGCCTGTAATCCCAGCACTTTGGGAGGCTAAGTCAGGCGAATTACCTGAGGTCGGGAGTTTGAGACCAGCCTGGCCAACATGGTGAAACCCTGTGTCTACTGAAAATACAAAAAATTATCTGGGCGTGGTGGTGTGCACCTGTAATCCTAGCTGCTTGGGATGCTGAGAAAGGAGAATCACTTGAACCCAGGAGGCAGAAGTTACAGTGAGCTGAGATCGCACCACTGCACTCTATCCTGGGTGACAGAGTGAAATTCTGTCTCAAAAAAAGAGAAAAGAATAGAAAAGAAAAAGGATAGAGAAGTAGGAAAATATTAAAATGTAGGGCATAGGATCATGATCTGTATGGTATTGCCAAAGGAGTTTTTGCTTAGCCACTGGATTTGCTGCAGCCAGTTTACAAATGACCAATAACTTTTTTGTTGTATTTAATTAAGGAAGATGTTAGAGAGATTCTCACTCTATCAAGTGAGAATCAACTCTAAGAGTTGACCTTTTTGGAATCATTAGCTGAAAAAATTTTCATTAGTTAAGATTGTTTAAAGTATTGATAAAATACCTACCTCTGAAACACTAAGATATAACATTTACCCAATTTTTTTTGTTTTTTAATTCTTTTTTTTCTTTTTTTCTGTCTTCTCTGCACTAGCATGTTTTTAAATTCTTTAACTCATGAAGTTTAGTAAGCCTATAACTAATTATAACAAGTTCTTAGAATAATACATTTCCAGTTTTTTACATAATCTTCTAACAGATGGAAATATTTTTAATTGGTATAAGCTTTGTGATCTGTCTGTAAGGAGATATAAAGGGAATAAAGGTAAAACTATTGTCCAACTTGTGTACCTCAAGTAGAACCATATAAAACTTTTAAAACATTTTATTTTGGAAAATTTCAAACAGAAAAGAAAATAGAAAGAATAGTTGTATAATGAACCTTCATGTACTTGTCATCTAGTTTCAACAATTATCAAGCTTTTGATAATATTGTTTAATTTATCCACACTCTCTTTAACTTTTTTTTTTTGGAGTATTTTGAAGCAAATCTCAGACATCTTATTTTACTTATCAGTAGCACAGTTGTGCAGAGAACTTTTGTTTTTCACTTAAAGCTACTTATTGAGTCCCGTCTATTTTTACTGTCATTTTAAGAGTTTTAATAAATCAGGACAAGACTTTGCAATAAAATAAAATAAAATAATCTTTGTAAAGCATCTAGCATAGTTATAGGCACAGGGTAAATCCTTTCTCTTCCATTCTGTAATAACCTTAAGTTTTAAAAATTCCAAATAATTTTTTACTATCCTAAAATATTGAACTGATATTTAAAGTTTCATTAATTTTACAAAATTTCATTTTATAATTTGAATTAGGATCTAAAGGAAGTCTATAGATTACAATTAGTCAATATGTTTAAAAAACTTTATAAGCTTCTCTTCATCTCTTTTTTTTGTTTGAACATTGCAATTTATTTGTTGAAGAAAGTAGGTTATTTGTCCTTAGAATATTCTTTTTTCTTTCTTTTTTTTTTTGAGACGGAGTTTCACTCTTGTTACCCAGGCTGGAGTGCAATGGCGCAATCTCGGCTCACTGCAACCTCCGCCCCCTGGGTTCAGGCAATTCTCCTGCCTCAGCCTCCTAAGTAGCTGGGATTATAGACACGCACCACCATGCCCAGCTAATTTTTTGTATTTTTAGTAGAGATGGGGTTTCACCATGTTGACCAGGATGGTCTCAATCTCTTGACCTCATGATTCACCCGCCTTGGCCTCCCAAAGTGCTGGGATTACAGGCGTGAGCCACCGCGCCCAGCCCTGTCCTTAGAATTTTCTACATAATGCAGTATACATGTTTCTCTGTGTCCTGTTTTTCTTATAAACTCACAGTAGAGTTAGAGCTTGATCAGAATCATGTTGATTTTTTGGTAACACTACTTCACAGGAGGTTTGTGTATTTCTGTGTAGAGACACTGAATTTTTGGTGGTCTTTCTTTTTGTGATACTAGCAAACATTGATGGTCACTGTCTAGATTTGTGATTAATCTTTATCCTTGACTATAGTTTAAAATTCATTGGTGCCCAAGTGTGGTGGATCTCGCTGGTACTCCCAGCCTTTTGGGAAGCTGAGGAGGGTGGATAGCTTGAGCCCAGGAATTTGAGGCTAGCTTGGGCAACATGGGGAAGCCCTGTCTTACAAAAAATACAAAAATTAGCTGGGTTTGGTGGTGTGAACCTGTGGTCCCAGCTACTCAAGAGACTGAGGTGAAAGGATCACCTGAGCCTGGAGAGGTCAAGGCTGCGGTTAAGCCATTATTGCACCACTGCATTCCAGCCTGGGTGACAGAGTGAGACCCTATCTTAAAAAAAATCGTTGACTATAAAGAGGCATTTAAAAAATATATTTATAAGTTTAAATGTAGGTAGTTTTTCTTTGATATGAACTCTAGGTGTTTTTAATTTTTCAGAAATGCTTACATATTGACCCTGACAAAAGACCCTTCTGTGCTGAGCTCTTATACCATGATTTCTTTCAAATGGATGGATTTGCTGAGAGGTATAGTACTAACCCATGGTTTTCAGGTCATACCAACCTAGGTTAAAGTAAGTTTTCCACAATAGTCACAAACAGCATTTCTCTTATTTCTGTTCCTACCTACATGCAGTTCCTAGGGGTGGTCTCCTACATTTACTAAATTAGTACTCTTGGTTTTCATGAAGCAGTCACTTTATGCTCTTCTTTCTGTCTCCCTGTGGTGAGACATCTACCAGTCAGGTCACTGATTTCTGTGTTGCTACCAACTGTGTGATGCCATTTTCTTAGAAGCTGATGCAGTTACAAAGGTGCCATCTCCTGTTGCTGCCCACTCATACTACACCAAGTCCTTTGATACTGCTGACACTGCTGGTGTGCTGGAGACCTTGATGTGCCAAACCTGTGGGTGCCAGAGTTGCTGTCATGGTCTTCTGTGCTGCTCAAGCTGCTGGCAACAGTGCAGCTGACAAAATAAAAGTAGTGAGATGAGTGGCATTAACATGTAGCTTAATAAAAGATAGCTAGGTTTTCCTGTTTGCTTCTGTATTCAATTAGTTGTAATATGTTGTTTTTGTGGAAGTATATGAAGAAACTCTGGCCTCACATAAATATGTAGTTGGAAAATAGAATATTTTATAGCCTTTTAAGATAATTGTGGGTATTCTTCGGTTCTATAACAAAACTCTGATACCATAGTAAAACTTGACAGTGGCAGTTTCTTAAAGGCTGGTTGTGTTGTGGAATCTGAAATCATATCAATGGGTTTTTCTTCCTTTGTTAAATTAAAATCCATTTGTCTGTCTTGCCTTTTTAGTGGATCTTTTACCCATGCTTGCTTTTGTAATATCATGCTTTAGTCATTTGGAAAATATTAGTTTGCTGAGTTATACAGATTTTTAAAATATTGACATTTCTTGTACAGCATCAAAAATTACACTCTATCTCATAAAAGTTTTTGAGTTTTGGGAAGCTGCTAAGCTCACAGTGGTGGATACAAGTTTAACAGAATTGTAATTTTTGCATACAATTTTGAATTTTGTCATTGACACAATAATTTCAGTTTTTCTTGAAGTGACAAGATCACTTTGTTTATTTGTTAAAAGAAAATGTTTCCCATATACCCAAAGTCTTTTTTTTTGAGACAGAGTTTTGCTCTTGTTACCCAGTCTGGAGTGCAATGGCGCGATCTCGGCTCACTGCAACCTCCGCCTCCTGGATTCAAGCAATTCTCCTGCCTCAGCCTCCTGAGTAGCTGGGATTACAGGCACGCGCCACCATGCCCAGCTAATTTTTTGTATTTGTAGTAGAGACGGAGTTTCACCACGTTGACCAGGATGGTCTCGATCTCCTGACCTCGTGATCCACCCGCCTCGGCGTCCCAAAGTGCTGGGATTACAGGCTTGAGCCACCGTGCCCGGCCAACTCAAAGTCTTAATAACCATAGTTTTTCTGTCAGTCTTTCTTTCAAGTAAAAATATCTAGTTTTGTTTGTATCACAAACAATTACACAAGCAATTTTCTTAAGACAACTGTTGCATTTTGGTTTGTAGCAGAGGTGCTTTATGTATAAATTCTGTTTGCCAAACAGATGATGAAAAAAGGCATGCATTTAAGAGTTTGGTTTTAATGAAATTAACACCTTTTTACTGCTTCATCAGAGACATTCTTAAGCAAGACTGCCTTTAAAAAAAAAAAAGAAAGCAACTGAAAATGTGTGGCTATGAAGAAAGCAATGACTGCTAGTACATTTTGGTTTCATGGCTTTGATTCTTGGTAAGGTGTCAGCAGTTTTATCCACTACTGCTTTCATGTTAACCTGGTGAGAAAGACAAACATCTTTATGTTAAAATAATGACTTTGACCTTGTGAAGGTTCTTAGGGATCCCCAAAGATCTACACATCACACTTTTCCAAACTGGTGGTCTAGGCCAGGGTTTTTTCTCATTTTTAATAACATAGACTAGTTTAACATTCAATTTTTTAAAAATAAATATCTTGAAAGTCAATTTTTTGTAGGTTTATCCATGTCTTACAATTTTGTTTTACTATATTTATATGTAGGTTTTCTCAAGAACTACAATTAAAAGTACAGAAAGATGCCAGAAATATTTCTTTATCTAAAAAATCCCGAAACAGAAAGAAGGAAAAAGAAAAAGATGATTCTTTAGGTGAAGAAAGAAAAACACTTCTGGTACAGGTAAATGTTCATATTTCACATTTTAAATATAATGTACTTTTAAAAATTTTTTTTGATAAAAAAATGATGAGTTTGAAAAAAGTTTTTTGAGCAGTAAGCAAATTGGCAACTTTTAGCTTAGTTGTAAAAATGTAACTTAACAGACCATATTTTGAGTACTTATTATGTACCAGACTTACCCCTAGACATGTGTTTTCATGCACACATACACACATAGACACATGGAACAAACAACCCTCACCGACTTATTTTTCTTCAATGATATGAGTGAAAAATATTGTTTGTAGAAATTTATATTAAGTAAAGCATTTGAAAAGTGAGATTTGGATACTTAAGTTAGGTTTGTTTTTCCTGGTTAATTACCCAGGATCTCTTCTTGATACGATAATTCAAATCCACCACCAACCCACTCATATCAAGTATACTGAAAGAAGAAAGGTACGAGTATTGTGTTTCCTTACTCTGAATATGTAAGAAAAAAAGTGGCATTTTTGATACCTCTTCTGAGTTTTTCCACTAATGTGTGTGTGTGTGTGTGTGACTGAGCTGTGTGAATTGCATTTCCATTCTTTTTATATTTTCCCCATAACTATCTGAATAAGAAAGAATCTGGCTTTAATTTTAATCCCATAGGTAGAATAAAGAAAATAGGTATAAAAAGGTGATACTTATGAAATTCTGCTCTAGTTGGCAAGTACTTTATAAGAATAGGTGAATTTTCATTCTTGTCAGATGATTAACCTTATTAATATTTTTATTAATGATCAGGATACCAATGCTGATTCCAAAATTAAGGATTGTAAACTATTTCAAATAAAAGGGTCAAAAACTGATGGAGAAAAAGCTGAAAAAGGCAACAGAGCTTCAAAAGCCAGCTGTCTCCATGACAATAGGAAAAGCCATGTCAAAATAGTGCCTTCAACAAGCCTCAAAGATTGCAGCAATGTCAGTGTGGACCACACAAGGAATCCAGGTGTGGCAATTCCCCCAATTACGCACAATCTTTCTGCAGTTGCTCCCGGTATTAATTCTTCAATGGGGACTGCGACTATACCAATTCAGAGTTACAGGTATGAATTAGCAAAATAAGACCAAAAAATTGTTTAAGGATATATTTAGAAATTGCAAGGATTTGTCAATTCATCCACATTGTTTTTATTCTCAGAATTCTGGATGCTATTCATTCTTGTCAGGTAGCTCTTTCAAAAGACTTTTTGGCTGTGTGATGAAAATTATTAGCATTTGATCAAAGCAATTCACCTAAGTCCTGAGAAAGTAGGGTTTTACTGCTTAAGGTGAAGAGAATCTACAGCTATATAGTCTAATAATGTGAAAGCAGGTTGTCATAGTAAAAGAGATAATTGGTTTTGAGTGTTTGCTGCTGCAGGGTATGGCTGTGAGCCTTTAGTAGTATACGGAAGTCCATTTGGGAATTTTGCTGAAAGGAGGGGAATGTATTTGGTAGGAATTGGGGGCTGGTGGGAGGCATGAGGGTAGTGATAAAGAATAGAATGTTTCTCCTGATTCATGTGCATTGTATATTTGAGAGTAGACCTTACTTTCTGATTAAACTGCTTGTTAGTTGATGCTGTGTCATTTGGGTTTGTGCTTTAAAAGATAATTATTGCTGGTTCTAACTTAAATTTTTTTTTTTTGTTACAGAATGGATGACAAAACTAAGAAGTGTTCTATTCCATTTGTTAAACTGAACAGACATTCCCCATCAGGCATTTATAATATTAATGTGACCACATTAGTAAGTAAGCAGTTCTCAGCAGTAGAAGAACAAGCACCAGTCAGCGCTTGACTTTTATTAAAATTAAATATGATAGAACAACAACAACAAAAAAATTAAATATGATAGTGAAGAACTGAGAATTTTGTTTGGAAACATATGAAGTGAAACCTTAAGTGTGCATATATTATCCCAGCCCATCATAGTCATAAATGTGAAATTCTGAAAGTTTAAATAAGTTTTATAAGTCTGAAAAATATGTTATTTGTTTTCTTCTTTTTTTTTTTTGAGATGGAGTCTTGCTTTGTCACCCAGGTTAGAGTGCAGTGGTGTGATCTCGGTTCAACTCAACCTCTGCCTCTTGAGTTCAAGCGATTCTCCTGCCTCAGCCTCCTGAGTAGCTGGGATTACAGGCACTCACCACCTCACCTTTCACCATCTTGGCCAAGCTGGTCTCAAACTCCTGACCTCATGATCTACCCACTTCAGCTTCCCAAAGTGCTGGGATTACAGGCGTGAGCCACTGTTCCCCGCTTGTTATATTTATTCTTTAGTAACATAGAAATTTTCTCAACCTGATGATTGCTGGTCAGTTCTTTTTTAGAGTAGATGAAAAGGTAATTTGTCTTATCTCATCCACACAAGATTTTTGGTGGCCGTATTCTATTGTTCGGGGACGGTAGCTCACACCTGTAATCACAGCACTTTGGGAGGCTGAGGCAGGAAGATAGTTTGAGCCCAGGAATTTGAAACAAGCTTGAGCAACACAGCAAAATCCTATCTCTACAAATTTTTTTTTTAAAAAACTAGCTGGGCATGGTGGCACATGCCTGTATCCTAGCTATTTGGGAGGCTGAGATGCATGGGTTGTTTGGGCCTGGAAAGTTGAGGCGATAGTGGTAAGCTGTGGCCGTGATTGTGCCCCAGCACCACAGCCTTCAGCCTGGGTGACAGACCAAGACCCTGTCTCAAAAAAAAAGCAAACGAGAAAGAAATGAAATGGTTCTATTTATTTATATAACAAATATTTATTGATCATTTATTATGTGTGAGACACTGAAGATAAATAAGTCAATCTTTCTTTTTAAGGGCTTCATGATCTAGAGGATCAGCAAATTAAAACATTGTATCATATTGTAATAGTAGAAGCATGTACAAGATTTAGAGATAGCACAGGAAGGAGCATTATTATTCTCAGCATGGCCTCCAGAATGTTTCTCTTTTAAAGTTAGGTCAAACCCTCATCACTCTTCTGCTCAACATCTTCCATTAGCTTCTTGTCTCTGAGAAAAGGCCAAAGTCCTTACAGGGTCTATACGTGCCTGCATGATTGACTCCACCCAACCCTCTATCCCATCTCCATCTGTTCTTCTCGATCACTCTGTTCTACCACTGATTTCCTTGTTATTCCTGGAACATGGTAAGACATACTTCCACCTTTGGACTTTTGCACTTGCTATTTCTTTTGCTTTAGAACATTCTTCCCCAGATAACTCAATGGATTTGCTTTTTCTCTTCCTTAGCTCACATGAAATCTTATTGTGAAGTCTTGTACCTCATTATGACTCCCTTTATGCTTGATGCTCTCTCCTTGCTTATTTTTTTTCTTTGCATTTATCTGCTATCATCTATATACTCTTATTTATATATTGTCTTTCTCCCCTGACTAGAATGTAAGGTTGGAAGGCAGAGATTTGTGCTTTTGTTTTCCTCACTGTACTTTACTTCCTATGCAAGTACAAAATATATATACATATACACACACACATATATATACACAAAAATATATAATATTATATATATATATATATATATATTTTTTTTTTTTTTTTGAGACAGGGTCTCTCTCTGTTGCCTAGGCTAGAGTGCAGTGTCATGATCTCAGCTCACTACAACCTCTGCCTCCCAGATTCGAGTGATCCTCCTGCCTCAGGCTCCTGAGTACCTGGGATTACAGGCACACGCCACCATACCCAGCTAATTGTTGTATTTTTAGTAGAGGCAGTGTTTCTCCATGTTGGCCAGGTTGGTCTCAAACTCCTGACCTCAGGTGATCTGCCCACCTCGGCCTCCCAAAGTGCTGGGATTAAGGCATGAGCCAGCATGCCTGGCCTAAAATTTAAAAATGAGTTGAAATTACCAGATTAACATATTCAAAGAGTGAAAATAAAACACATAATAAATATTTATAATAATATATTTATTCACATCTCAGAATGGGGGCCCAAAACATGGGAGAGAGGTATTGACCTTTAACCTACAAGTTGAAGAAAGTCTAGGGTTAGCTCTGCTTGCATTAATTTTCATTAAGAAAAAACTCCACACTGAAGGAATGAATGCTTTTCACGACAAAGGGAGGTATGGATGCATTCCCAAAGGAGTACTGTTTTTGTGTGTGTGTGACAAATTTCCCTTCTGTACTTCTCCCACTATCTTCAGAGTTGAAAAATTTAGCCTTTTCAGCTCTCTCATGATTTGGTTATGGTGTTTGTTTTTCTTTTAATTATTCTTAGTTTATAATTTCTGTGCCTATAGTACTTCCCTTTTTGGTTTCTTCATAGATATTTGGATATTTGTGTTTTAAAATCTTGGTCTGCTTTGGAAGCTTATTGTAATCAGGAAGGCTTTCAAAATATCTAGTTCAATACCATTTTCCTAGAACTGATACCAACCTGCTTTCAAGCATTGCATAATCAATGCTGGCTGATAATCATAGATCTGATTTCTATTTATTCTTTTTTGGAAGAGGTAATCAAGAAAGGAGGTGAAGATAGGGCAAAGACCCAGTGAGTGGAGTCTTTCCTTAATGAAAATTAATGCAAGCAGAGCTAAGCCTAGACTTTCTTCAACTTGTATGTTAAAGATTAATACATCTCTCCCATGTTGCATGCCCTCATTCTGAGGTCTGAATAAATATATTTTATAAATATTTATTATGTGTTTTATTTTATTTTACTTTTTTGAGATGGAGTCTCATTCTGTCGCCAGGCTGGAGTACAGTGGTACCATCTCAGCTCATTGCAACCTCTGCCTCCTGGATTTAAGCGATTCTCCTGTCTCAGCCTTTCCAGTAGCTGGGACTACAGGCACGTGCTGCCACGCCCAGCTAATTTTTGTATTTTTAATAGAGATGGGTTTCACCATATTGGCCAGGATGGTCTCGATTTCTTGATCTCATGATCTTCATGCCTTGACCTCCCAAAGTGATGGGATTACAGATGTGAGCCACCCCACCTGTCTTATGTGTTTTATTTTCACTCTTTGAATATGTTAATCTGGCAGTTTGAACTTATTTTTAAATTTTATTTTTTGTATTTGCATAGAGTTTTCTTGAACTATTTTATTTTGTAGCCAATTTGAACCAATAGGCTTAGCGCTTGTTCTATGAAAAGAGTAAAGAGAAACATCCAAAAGAAAGAAACTCAAAAGCTCACTGCAGGACTCTTGAAGACTTTCTGGCAGCCAGCATGGCATAACTCACAGAATATTAGGTTCGAGGCATCAACGAACCTCAATAACTTAATGTCGTATACATGTGTTTTTGTGTATGTAGTTTATTATACATATATATGTATTGCATCATGCATACTTTTTTAAGAAGATCACATAAACATGTATTTTTTAAGCAAGTCACATAATCTCTCTATGTGTCAATTATTTTGAGACTGTGGAAAGGAATACAGGGCTTCTGTAATTTTTGAATGAAAAATACTGGAAAAATGTCAAATTCTTAAGGATGCAGAATTGAAGTGCTGCTGCTTTTTCTTGCTATTTTTTCTGACTTTACCAACTGTAAAATAATAGTACTAAGAAAGATTAGGAAAATAATTGAAGTTATAGTTCATTACCTAATAAATTGTATTCCTAGGAAGATAGCACCATATTCTAACTCTGAGGAGCAAGACGAGGACAAATATAGAAAAATGAATAACAAAATTATATTGGGAAAGTGAAAAACAAGCTAGGGAAAGATGTGATATACATATGAAGATAAACTGTTCAATATTTATGAATACAACAGCAACTGTTTTCTGAAAAGCCTAGGAAGTGTTGTAAGGCCTAATCATGCTGGCCTGTAGAATCAGGGCATCAATGCCCATATTTTAACCTTTTACTACTTGCTGGGACTTAACACATTGATAATTGGCAAAGGGAGAAGGAGAAGCTCATAGCAATCAAGTTATCTACTTGTTAGCAATTTTAATGAATTTAATGAGGAAGATATTTGAAATAATTGGATGAATTTTTTATATTATTAATGTCCTTCAAATTTTTTATTATAGACCTTTAATTTCACAAATTTTGGGATACAAACATAGGACTTACAAAAGAAGGAAAGCCTAGCTAACCTTGAAATGAATTCTTTTGTGTTGCCTATTTTGATGATATTAGGTCTCTAGTGAAAAGAGTCTCCTTCAGGCAAGTAAGAACAGAAGGGAATACTCCAGGACAGATGTCCATTTGCCTGAACTAAACTCTAATCATCTCCCTGAACTAAGAACCTTGGAAGGCATAGGTATGTTGATAATGCTTTTACTTTGTGTAGTCTGTTTACATTACTTAAAGTGTATGTTAAGTAAACAGAATTTAAAAATAAAAATTCATAGTGACTTTACATATTTAAGCATGTGAATACCTATTATAAGTACATACTGAGGAGCAAGTAAAGAATGTGAAAAACTAAAAACTAACAAAATGTCTAATATTTTCACTGGTCATTTTTATCTAGCTCGAAATTCCAGGCTAACAAAGAAAGAGAACAAAATTCTTTCGGCATCTCGAATTCCTTCTCTGGCCGCTATTGACCTGCACACTCCCAGTATTACATTACATCAGGTACAGAAACACTCTTTATAGGATGGACAGAACTTGGGTCTCTCTCATACTTACTAGTAAAGTATTTTAGGGAGAGTTTGCTATTAAAAATTGTGCAGGTTTATTGGTGGGAATCTATAAAGTTTTGCTTGCTAAAGTTTGTTTGATTCATTGGACTTAGTACCTTTATTACATATATATTTACATAACATTTCCTAACTTGCCATAACACTTTTTTTTTAGAGACATGGTTTCACTCTGGTGGCCAGGCTGGAGTGCAGTAACATGATCCCAGCTCACTGCAGCCTCAAACTCTTGAGGTTAAGCAATCCAACCACCTCAGCCTCCCAAGTAGCTGAGATTACAGGCATACACCACCAGATCCAACAAATTTTAAAATTTTTTGTAGAGATGATGCCTTGCTGTGTTGCCTGGGCTGGTCTCAAATTACTGTCCTCCAGTGATCCTTCTGCTTCAGCCTCCCAAAGTGTTGGAATTACAGATGTGAGCTATGGCTCCTGGCCAGTAATCCTTTTTTTATAGGTTAAAAAATGTGTGTGTCTGGGTATGCAGGCTAGCTACAGTTTTTGCTAACTATTTTTTTTTTTTTTGGTAGTTCATAGTGTTTTACTACATTAACTCCAAAGTTATAAACAACCTACCTTTCAAAGGGAGAAACCCTGGAATTGTTTTTATTCTTTCAAAATGGATTATCTATTTGACATTTTTCCCCCAAGACAATCCATTTCATCCATGTTAAAGATTTGCTATTCCATATAGTCATCTTTTTCTATCATTGCTCTTAACTTTTCAGAATATATATGTTTCTATTACTTTTATATCAACAGCCATAACACTCATTTTTTACACTGAGAAAATTGGTAAACTTAAATCTTTGGAGCCAACTGTAACTAGCTACAAACTTTGGCTATGGGCATTGTACTTTTCTTTTACTGCTTCAGACAGATTTCCCACCTTTGCTTGAAGTTAGGCAACTTTTGTTTTGGAATTCATTCTTCATCCTCATTATTAATACATTTCCATTTCATAGAGAGCTCCTGTATCCATGGTGATGCTTTTTCCACTGTTAATCCCCCTTTTTAAGATACAGTCTCCCTCTGTTGCCCAGGCTGGAGTGCAGTGGTGCAGTCTCAGCTCACTGCAACCTCTGCCTCCCAGGTTCAAGTGATTCTTGTGCCTCAGGCTCCTGAGTAGCTGGGATTACAGGTGCACCCCACCACATCCAGCTAATTTTTGTATTTTTGGTAGAGGCGGGGTTTCACCATGTTGGCCAGGCTGGACTTGAACTCCTGATCTCAAGTGATCCACCTGCCTTGGCCTCCCAAAGTGCTGGGATTATAAGCGTAAGCCATTGTACCCGGCCTCACTGTTAACTCTCGAATAGTTCTGTAGTTCTACAAAGGAATAGTATTACTGAAGATTACAAATTACCTAGAGATACTGAGGAAAGGGTTTATTACTTGGTTGCTTTGCCTTATCTCTTGCCAACAATTTCTATAGCAACATTTAATTAAAACTGAACAAATTCCTGTCATGTGAAGATTAATCACTATCACAGATTCCACATTTAGGAACCATAGAGTATCAATATGTTTCTTATATACTTCTTTACTTCTTTTTTTTTATTTTTGAGACAGGGTTTTGCTGTGTCATACAGGCTGGCGTTCAGTGGCACCATCATGGTTCAGGGCAGCCTTGATCCCCTAGGCTTAAGCGATCGTCCCACCTCAGCTTCCTGAGTAGCTGGGACCACAGGCATACACCGACACACCTTGTTATGAGCCACTGTACCTGGCCTTTTTTTTCTGGACACATGGTCTTACTCTGTTGCCCAGGCTGGAGTGCAATGGCATGCTCATAGTTCACTACATCCTTGAGCTCCTCGGCTTAAGCCATCTTTCCACTTCAGTCTCCCAAGGAGCTGGGACTGCAGGTGCAGGCCACCATGCCTAGCTAATAATTTTTTTTTTTAAGAGAAGGAATCTATTTATCCTTTTCCCAGCTGAGGGACATTTGAGTTGTTTGCAGTTTTTGACAATTAAACAATGAAGTGTTATATAAATATTTGTAAATGTGTTTTTTGTGTGTGAATATAGGGTTTCACATTTAGTTGGTAAATAACTAAAAATGGATTTGCTGGGTCATATGGTAAGTAAATATTTAACTTTATAAGAAACTATCACATTTTTCAAAAATGGCTATGCCATTTTGCATTTCAACCAGCAATGCCTAATACTGTCAGTTGTTCCTTATCCTCACCAGCACTTGGTATTGTCGGTTTAATTTTAACCATTCTGATAGGTGTGAAGCGGCATCTCACTGTGGTTTTAATTTGTATTTCCCTAATGACAAAGATGTTGAGAATCTTTTCATGTGCTTATTTGCACATGAAAAAGCTGTATATCTTCTTTGATGAAATATCTGCTCAAACCTTTTGCCTATTTTTAATGGGTTGTTTTCACATTATTGAGTCATTATTTATTTTGATTTTCAAATTAGTACAGTTTTGTCTAGTGGGATCCCCTTCAGGGTAGCTTCTGTCTCCTTTTGACATGTCCTCATCATTCTTTGAGTAAATTCCTTGCTATCTGCTGCAACAGATAATGCAGATTGATTTGTACCAGCCTGAATCAGCCATTTCTCCAAGGATCCCTAGTTTCCTTTTGTAGATAATCATATTTAGAAGTCAAGATCTGGGCTCTAGGTGTGTTCATTGATTTCGGGGGAGTCATTGTTCTAAGGTCCTCTTAGTGGACAGAGCTAGGTACATAGACATATGTACATACATATACACATTTGCTATGAGTTTATTTCTATTTATCTATTAATTTTTCTGAGATGAAATCTCGCTCTGTCACTCAGGCTGGTGTGCAGTGATGTGATCTCGGCTCACTGCAACCTCCGCCTCCCGGGTTCAAGCAATTTTCCTGTCTCAGCCTCCCGAATAGCTGGGACTACAGGCGTATGCCACCATGCCTGGCTAATTTTTTGTATTTTTAGTAGAGACGGGGTTTCACAGTGTTAGCCAGGATGGTCTTGATCTCCTGACTTCGTGATCCTGGCTGCCTTGGCCTCCCAAATTGCTGGGACTACAGACATGAGCCACCGTGCCCGGCCTAGTTTATTTCTATTTCTACCTGTGGTTACTAAAATCTACAAAGATGCCTCTAATCCTAATCCAACACCCAGAGTTTGGTCCAGTTTACTATTCTCTTCTTTGACAATGAGAAATTTACCTGCATGTTATTCCATGTATAATTTAATATATGTGCTTATTTGATTAATTATTTTATATATATCTAACCTCCTGTTCTACAATAATTTCCTTTTTTAAAAAAAGATACGTTTGTCATGTTTTAACATTAAGATTTTGTTAGCTTCATAAAACAAGTTGAGCAGAGGTCTCCCTTTATTTCCTGAAAAAGTTTCATAAATTGGTGTTATTTGTTCCTTGAATGATTGATAGAATTCTCTGGTGAAGCCATCTATTCCAAGAGTTTTATTTTGGGGAAAATTTTGGATAACGATTTCTTTTTTCTTTTTTTTGAGATGGAGTTTGCTCTTGTTACCCAGGCTTGAGTGCAATGGCCCGATCTTGACTCACTGCAACCTCTGCCTCCTGAGTTCAAGCAATTCTCCTGCCTCAAGTAGCTGGGATTATAGGCATGCACCACCACGCCTGGCTAATTTTGTAATTTTAGTAGGGACTGGGTTTCTCCATGTTGGTCAGGCTGGTCTCAACTCCTGACCTCAGGTGATCCACCTGCCTTGACCTCCCAAGGTGCTGGAATTACAGGCATAAACTGCTGTGCTCGGCAATGATTTCAATTTCTTTAAAAGATACAGAGCTATTCGGATTTTCTGTTTCTTCTTGGGTCTCTTTTGGTAGGTTGTATTTTTTAATCCTCTGATTCATGTCATACAATTTAAAAAATTTGTTGGCTTGACATTGTTCATAGTATTCTCTTATTGTCCTTTTGTTTTTGAGACAGAGTCTTGCTCTGTCACCCAGGCTGCATGCAGTACAGTGGCAAAATCTCAACCCACTGCAAGCTTCACCTCCTGGGCTCAAGTGATTCTTCTGCCTCAGCTTCCCAAATTACTGGGATTACAGCTGTGAGCCGTCATACCTGGCTAATTTTTGTATTTTTAGTAGAGATGGGGCTTCACCATATTGGCTAGGCTGGTCTCAAACTCCTAATCTCAAGTGATACACCTGCCTCAGTCTCCCAAAGTGCTGGGATTACAGGCATGAGCCACCGTACCTGGTCTCTTATTGTCCTTTTAATATCTGTAAAGACTGTGATGATTATTCTTTATTTTTACTATATTATGTTCACCTTTCTTTTTCTTGATCAGTATAGTTAGGAGTTTGTCAATTTTGTTGTGGTTTTCAACAAAATCAAGTCTTTGGCATTGTTAATTTCCTCTGTTGTCTGTCAGTTCCCTATTTTGTTGATGTCTCCTCTTAGTTTTTCCCTTTTACTTACTTTGGGTTTATTCTGCTCAATTTTTCTAAGTTCTTAAAGAAACCTATCACTTGGTCACTTAGATTTTTTTTTCTTTTTCGTAATGTAAGCATGTAAAGCTATACATTTTCCTCTAAGCACTGCTTTACCTTTATCCCACAGCTTTTGATATATTGTATTTTCATTTCTATGCTTATTAAAATCTACAAAGATACCTCTAATTCTAACCCAACAACACAGTTTAATCTAGTTTACTACTCTCTTCTTGGAGAGTGAGAAATTTAGCTGTATGTTATTCTATGTATATTTACTTATTTGATTAATTATTTTGCATATATCTAACCTGTAATTTCTTTTTTTTAAAAAAAGATATCTTTGTCATGTTTTAACATTAAGGTTAGTCCAAACATTTTAAAATTTCCCTTAATTTTCCCATTTGTAATTTCTTCTCTGACCTATGAATTATTTTAAAATGTTGTTTAATAGCCGAGTATCTGAGGTTTCCCTAATAGCTTATTGTTGATTAATTTGTAATTTAATTCCATTGTGGTCAGAGAATACATTTAGTGTGATCTTGGTTTTTTTTGGATTCAATGAAACATGTCTTATGGTCTATGGTCTATCTTGGTGATTGATCTTGTTCCCTTGAAAAAATGTATATTCTTTGTTGTTTGATCAATTGTTCTATAAATGTAAAATTAGATCAAGGTGATTAGTAGTACAGTATTCTTCAGATCATCTATGCTCTTAACTTTTTTGTTTAGGTCTATCACTTCTCGAAAGAGTACTGTTAAAATTTTTTATTATGTTGTTGAATTGCCTATTTCTCTCTTATGTTTGTTTATTTTTATTTAATTTAATTATTTATTTCAAGACAGAGTCTCACTTTGTTGCCCAGGCTGGTCTTGCTCTCCTGAGCTCAAATGATCCACCTGCCTCCACCTCCCAAAGTGCCGGGATTACAGGCATGAGCCACCACACCTAGCCTATATCTATTTATTTTTGCTTCATGTATTTTGTTATTTTATTAATTTTTTTTAGAAATGGGGTCTCACTCTGTTGCCCAGGCTAGAGTACAGTGACATGATCATAACTCACTGCAACCTTGAACTCCTGGGCTCAAGTGATCTTCCCACCTCAGCCTCCTGAGTAACTAAGACTACAGGCACAGGTCACCACACCCAGCTAATTTTTTTCTTTTGTTTTGAGAGATGGGGTCTTGCTCTGTTGTTGTGACTGGCCTTGCTGTGTTGCTCAAACTGTTGACCTCCTCCTGAGCCTCCTGAGTAGCTGGGATTACGGGTGTGAGCCACCATACCTGGCTGCTTTTTGTATTTTTAAATCTCTATTACTAGGTATTTGCACATAATTGTTTTGTCTTTCTGATACATTGTCCTTTTATCATTATGAAATGCCTCTCTTTATCTTTGGTAGTGGTCTGTACCTTAACCATTCCAAACTTCTTATATGTAAGTTTGCATAGTAAATCTTTTTGCTTTCATTTACTTTTACCCTATCTGGTTTTTATGTTTATATTTAAAGTGTTTCTTTTGAAGACAGCATATAAATAGGATCTTTCCTTTGTATACATTCTGTCAATCTTTGCCTTTTAATTGGAATGTGTATTTGTTTATTATTGCTGCTACCTTAGAGATACGGTATTCCCCCTTATCTGTAATTTTGTTTTCTGCAATTTCAGTTACCTGTGGTCAACTATGGTCTGAAAATGTTAAGTGGAAAATTCCAGAAATAAATGGTTCTTAAGTTTTAAATTGCACGCCATTCTGAATAGCCTGATGAAATCTCAAGCTGTCCGGCTCTTTTCTGCTGGGGACATGAATCCTCTCATTGTCCAGTGTATCCATGCTGTATACTTATGCTACCTGCTCTTTTATTGCTTAGTAGCTGTCTAGGCTTTCAGATCAAAAAAACACAATACTCTATATTTAGGGCTTGGTACTATCTGAGGTTTCAGGCATCCACTGGGGGCCTTGGAACATGTCCCTCATGGATAAGGGGGGACTACTTACATACTAAATTAATATCCATTTATTATCTCATAGCTTCTGAGTTAGGCACAGCTGTTTCTCTGCATGAGTCTCACAGGTGGAAATCAAGGTGTCTGCAGGGCTGCATTATTTTCTAGAGGCATTAGGGGAGAAACTATTTCCAGGCTCACTTAGGTTGTTTGGGTAATTTAGTTTCATATGGTTGTAGGGCAGAAGTCCCCATTTCCTTGCTGGCTGACAGCTAGGGGTTGTTCTCAGCTTCTAGAAGCCACCCACATTCCTTGGCTCAGGGCCCACTTCCTCTGTCTTCAAAGCCAGCAACAGTGGTCAAATCTCTCTTAAACTTGAATCTCTTTGACCACTACTTCTGCCTCATCTCTGACTCACTCTGATGCTAAGAGCCCACATGATTACACTGGGCCCACCAAGTTAGCTAATTAGTAATCTTTATTCCATGTATAAAGTCCCTTCATATCAGTACTGAAATTAGTTTGATTAACTAGCTACGGACAGGAATCTTAAGGGCATAGCTTTACAATCCTGTTGACCATAGAATGTTTAGACCGTTAACATTTACTGTGATAATTGATATTTTTGGATCTACTCCCATCTTTTTATTATTTGTTTTCTGTTTGTTCCTCTGTTTTTCCTTTTCAGTTTTCTTCTGTTTTTGAATATTTTTAGTATTTTTTTGGCAATATCTCTTTATATATATTTTTTTAGTGATTGCTTGAGGAATGACAATATACATCAGTAGTTTTTCATAGTCTACATCCTACCCCTCGAAATAAAAAGCAGGAACTGGCCATCCATTTCTCCATTATCCAGGAAAGATGTTGGTGTTGAGGTTGACATACCTATCAAAGACAGTAATTATCATGGCCTCCAGTGCTTTGACAAAACCTCAGATGTGTGATCTTCTGACCAACGTCTGTGATTTCATATTGTTGGAGCCTTTATTGTGTCCCTGGGGGTTGCAGCTGTCTGTAAGATTGCTGTGGCTGAACCAAGAAACAAGACATATGCAGATTTCTACAGAAATTATGATTTTGTGAAAGATTTGGAGAAGTTGAGGAAGGCTGGTATCTTTTAGAGTACAAAGTGATTTTGGAATACAAAGAATTTCTTTGCGTTGAATTACCTAGAAGTTTGTCACTCATCTGTGTTCCTGAACTATGAAACATTAATATGTGGTATAAGAAATAGTTTCTCTTGATAAATAATTAACAATGAAAAAGTCGAAAATGTATTCCCTTCTCCCCAGTTTGCAGTTTATGTTACTTCATATGTACTACATCTGCATACCTTCAGAAGCCTAATACATTATATGTTTTGTTTTAAACAGTCATAAACATTTTAAACAATATAGGAGAAAAAATTGTCTTTTATATTTACCTAGCTCTTTACCATTTCTGTTGGTCTCTCTTTTTCCCTAGATTCCAGTTTTCCTCTGGTGTTATTTTCCTTCTGCCTGAAAAACTTCCTTTAGCATTTCTTGCAGAGCAGGTCTGATGGGGACAAATATTCTTAGTTTTTCTTCATTTGAGAATGACTTTATTTTACTTTAATTATTGAAATATATTTTATTGGATATGGAATTTGAGTTGACATGTTTTTGTTTTCCTCCCAGAACTATAAAGATGTGATTCTTCTGATCTCTGTAATTTCTGGTGGGAAATTGTCAGGCATTTGAATTGTTTCCCTATATGTAGTGTTTCATTTTCCTATAGCTGCTTTCAAGATTTAATTTTTATCTTTTCATTAGCTTAAATATGATGTATGTAGACATAGTTTTCTTTGCGTTTGTCCTGTTTGGAGTTTTCCAGCCTTCTTGAATCTGTAAACTTATGTATTTGGGCAGTTGTTGGTCATCATTTTTTGAAATTTTTTTTTCTGCCATAGTCTCTCACCTTTCCTTCTGAAAGTCTAATGATATGTACGGTAGACTGTTTAGTATTTTCTCATAGGTTCCTGAGACTCTGTTCACTTTCCTAATCATTTTTCTTTCTATTCTTCAGATTGGGCCATTTCTATTAACCTATTCTCAAGTTCTCTTACTTTTTACTTTATCATCTTCATTCTGCTATTAAGCCCATTCAGTGAAATTTTAAAATTTCAGATACTGTACTCTTTAGCCCTAAAATATACATTTGGCTCTCTTTTGTAGCTACTATTTCTCTGCTAAGTATTCCTATCCATTCATTTCAAGTATGTTTTCCTTTACTTCATGTAGCAGAGTTACAAGGGCTGCTTCAAAGTCTTTGTATGATGGTTCCAACAGATTTTTGTTTCTATATTTTGGTAATAAGTAGAAGAGATGGGTTGTAGTGCGCTTACACTGTCATAGCAGATCAGAAGTATCTTTTAACATATGCATAAGCTAGGATCGAAGAATAACATCCACTCAGCAGTAATTTTGGGACTAAAAAAGGAAAAGAATAATGTCTCCTTACTTCATCCTTTTCCATGTAGGCAGCTTGAACTATGAATGGTTAGTTCTAAACATCTGATATTTGAACAAATAGAATTGAAATTTTGGGTAAGTGGAACTTTTGCAATTACTGAGAACCTATGATGCTCTATGATTAATTTATAGGTATCAGGACTTCCCCTGTCAGATGATTCAGAGGCTGATTTGCCTTAAATGGAGCACCAGCACTGAGAATCATTTTGGTTCTGAACTGGGTAGGTCTGATTTTCCATATTTAAGGCTGTGCAGCCTTTCACAGGTAATATTTTGTGGCTTGCTGAAGACTAATTTTTCAGCTGAAACATTCTCCAATGATTGATTTTATGACAATTTCTGATAAAGAGAGTTGTGCCACTTAGAAAACCAGAAGTAGTATTTATCTCTGGGATGATACCCATTTTCGTAGAGTATATATCTCTTGCTCCTAAACTAAAATCATGTATTTTATTGGATATGGTAATGTGAATTTAGGTTGACAAGTGCTCAAGAAAGATACATACCTATCACCCTTATCAGTCATTTGCCCTGTGGGCCCATAAAGCAAGATCACCTGATTATAGTCCTGCCTTGCTTAATGTTCTGACAGATGCATCCTTAGATGATTTCACTGTTATGCTAACATCATAGTCTACTTATACAATTCTAGATGATATCATCCACTATACTCCTAGGCTACATGGTATAGCCTATTGCTTCTAGGCTACAAACCTGTACAGCATGTTACTATACTGACTACTGTAGGCAATTGTAGCACAATGATAAGTATTCATATATCAAAACATAGAAAAGGTAATGCATTGCACTATGATGTTATCATGGCTGCAGTGTCACTAGGCAATAAGAATTTTCAGCTTCGTGATAATCTTATGGGACCACCATTTTATATGCAGCCCATTGTCGACCAAAACATTGTTATATAGTGCATGACTATACTTGGCAATACTTTTCCCAATAAAGAGAGATCAGTGCTGTACCAAATTATTGCCCTCCTTTTAAATATAACATTTTAGTATTAAAAAAAGCAAAACAAAAATCAGACTTTTTTTTTTTAATGGGATCTCACTCCATTGCCCAGGCTGGAGTTCAGTAGCATAATCTTGGCTGACTGTGACTTCTGCCTCCTAGGCAGATGCAATCCTCCTGCCCCAGTGTCCCGAGTAGCTGGGACTACAGGTGTGTGACACAACACCCCACTAATTTTTTGTATTTTTGGTAGAATGGGGTTTCACCATGTTGCCTGGGCTGGTCTTGAACTTCTGAACTCAAGTGATCTGCCCACCTTGGCCTCCCAAAGAACTAGAATTAGAGGTATGAGCCACTGTGCCTGGCCAGTCAGACGTTTTTGAGTGATAATTTATTTGCTCAAGTAAGTCATTCAATGTTTAATATCTCATTAATTATGTAAAATATTATGATGATAGAATCCCACATTCTCATAACTGTATTTTTTTTTTGAGACAGTATCTCGCTCTGTCATCCAGGTTGGAGTGCAGTGATGCAGTCTTGGCTTACTGCAACCTCCGCCTCCTGGGTTCAAGCGATCTTTGTGTGTCAGCCTCCCGAGTAGCTGGGATCACAGGTGTGTGTCACCACGCCCAGCTAATTTTTGTATATTTAGTACAGACGTGGTTTTACCATGTTGGTCAGGCTGGTCTCAAACTCCTGACCTTAGATCATTTACCCGCCTTGGCCTCCCAAAGTGCTGGGATTACAGGCATGAGCCACCACGCCCAGCCCATAACTGTATTAATTAATCTGTTAACCTTTACAAAGCATTTTGAGCATCTTTGATATCAAAGGTAAATTTACTATGAAGTAAACAAAGCTTTAGTTTTGATCTTTCATTTGCACAGGTCCTTTCAAGGCCCTGGAAGAGTCTTTGCAATGCATTCATTTGAGTTAATTCATGCTGAACAATGAAAAACTAATTGATACAAACTGTGTAAACTACAGACTCTGCAAAACTTGCATGTTTTTTGTCAAAATTAGTTATTATTTGCATAAAAGAAGATATGTGTTACACATGATAGTTTTGATTGGTAATTATTCTAAAGATTGTCTTAAAAATTTGCTTTTGATACATCTAATTGAAATATAAAGTTTCCTTAAGCTACATAGTACCCACCAATATTATCAATATATATATGTGTGAGAAAACAAGTAAGAAAGAAATTAAGTTTTAGAAAAACTTTATGTAAAATAGTTGGTGGTATATTCTTCTGTGCTTTTAGATGCTGCTCTTGCACTTGAGATGACATCTTGCAGCAAGAGTGCTGATATCCTAAGAGGAGAGATTCATGGTTTTGATCATTTCCTTCTGAACTGCCTGGATTTTCTGAGAAAGGCCTTCTAGAAGAAGTAAAGACAAAAACTTCCAAATGTTTCAAAGGAAGATTGAACAAGTGCCCCTCCCCAACTGTTATTCCATCATCTTTCACATCCACTGATGCTATATCAAGATATATCCAGTGGAAGAATAGTGATATGGTTCTTGTTACATGAATGTGTATTTACTGTTAGGAGATTGTTTAAGTCACCCATGATTAAAAGTGTGTAAAAAAGGAGAACAGAGAGAAATGTTATAAAAAGGCCATGTTACTCATGCATTGAACTTTGTGTGTTTTCTGTATAAATGTGTATATTTATTTAGGAGAGAGTTTGGTGGGGGTAGGGGATAAAAATTACAATCAGTTGGGCCGGGCGCGGTGGCTCACGCCTGTAATCCCAGCACTTTGGGAGGCCGAGGCGGATGGATCACGAGGTCAAGAGATCGAGACCATCTTGGTCAACATGGTGAAACCCCGTCTCTACTAAAAAAATACAAAAATTACCTGGGCATGGTGGCGCGTGCCTGTAATCCCAGCTACTCGGGAGGCTGAGGCAGGAGAATTGCCTGAACCCAGGAGGCGGAGGTTGCGGTGAGCCGAGATCGCGCCATTGCACTCCAGCCTGGGTAACAAGAGCAAAACTCCGTCTCAAAAAAAAAAAAAAAAATTACAATCAGTTGAAGAAAATTGAAGAAACTAGGATCAGTAAGAGAAACTGTTTGCTTTAACCGAATTTAACTATGAAAACACACTGAAAAATCTTACTTGCTTCTAGATATTAAGGGAATATGTAACTTCTGTCTGTGGGTAGATGTGTGTCTTTGGTTTCAGTAATTATTGTTGATGTTCTATCATTATATTATAAGACTCTGGCCACTATGCAGTTCTTCTAAGAACCACACTAATGCAAGCCTGACAGAGAAACCTTCTCTTTTGAATGACTTACTGTAACTCTGGCATTGATAGTTCTCTGTATTGTAAGATTCTGGTGCTGATGTTCCATACAGAATTGATCAGGACTGATTTACTCTTCTGTGGACCAATTGCTATTGAACTGCCCAGCTGAAGAGGCTCTGGGGAGGGAATGTTCATTATTATTTTGTCCCCTGGTAGTTTAAGGGTGATACAAGAATCCAGAGAAGTTCCTGTCTCCTTGTGACCTCAAACACTAAGCCCTTCTCAAAAGCTTTTCACCATGGTGCAAAATCATTTACCTGCATTCCACACATCTTTTCTAAGGTATGAATCCAAAACTTTTTAGGTGGGAGAAATAAACCAAGTTGGGTACAGGTTCTTGATTTCTGGGTTTCTAGCCATGCTCTGCATTTATTATTTTAGAGAATGGTTGTTTAGGGAACCAGAATTTGTGTGAGTTTTTCACCTTAACCAATTAATAGTGTGTTGCTTTTTTCCCCAAAAGCCATTAACTAGAACTTAGCCGAAGAGTTTAAATAGACCTTTTCTTTATTACTCTGAGGAACTTAGTATTGAAATTCTGACTTTGGGTATTTAAGCCTCAAAACAGTAGGACATTCAAGAGGAGGCAAATAAGGGGTTTCAATGTACAAGAGTATAGGTGGTGGTTATATTAAAATTGGTCTTGATTTAAAAGCTCTCTTTTAATCTGTGACCAGGCGTTTGACTGCATTAGTATGGTTAACATGCTGAAAAAACTAGGGTATCAGCATTAATAGCCTTCACATTAAAACGTTACTATTTTATTTTTACTTTAAAAAAAACTGCCAATAGATTCTGCAGCATGGCAAGCAGGTAATACTTCAAGCCAAATGGCGCTTCAGCTTATTTCAATACTATTTTTCTGTGAAGATCAGTGTGAAAAGATCTGCTCAATGTTTGAGGTCCTAGGATCAATTACCTTCCAGTTTTTATGCTAGCTTTTGATATCTTTTGCCTATTAAAACACCTTTGAACTTTAGAATTAAGGAAGTAAAAATTATTTACTATAAGTCAAAGTTACGACTTGAGGATTGTAACTAATTACAACCGTGGCAGAAGTACAAGAAAAAGAAGATTCTGCAAATTGATTTCAGTGATTCTTGTTGATGTAATCATAATCATCAGCAATAATAGATATTGAACCAATGATCCTTTTTATAAGTTTAAGGTTATTTAGTGTCTCTTTGCAAGGATCTGACTTAGTCACACACGCATAGGGAATATGTGTATGTACTGGTGGGAGCAGTGGGCTTGCTGTGTGTATGTATGTTTTAAAAATAATAAATATTATCTTACTGAGTGCCATAAATGGTTTTAATTTAGATTTATTTAATTAAAGGTACTATAAATAATATATTCACCACTGTATGGTATTTAGCAAATAAGTTTGAAATCTGTTAATCCTTCTTCCGGAAAACTTAGGAGGTAGCGGTGGCAAGCTAATTTTCTTGTATAGCTGGTGATATAGGCAGCATGATCATAAAATAACATGTCTTGTAAAGACTAACTAGTAAAAGTTGTGACAGAACCTGGTTTTCCTGACTTAGAATCCCTTGCTTGCTTAGAATATCTGACTTCGCATTGAAATGGAACATAGAAAATGTGTTTTCTTATGTGACTCTCATTATTGGTTTCTTTGTCTTAGCTGTGCTGCAGTGTGAGGCTGGACCTGTAATACACTATATATCGGAGTAGGCTGAAAAATATGATTGATTTGTTTTCTAAGCCCTCCTCTCTATAACTGAACCATGGGCAGGGAATTAATGAAGCAACAGAGCACTGCTCCTAAGGCTTTAGGCTAGTCTTAGTAAATTGGACTAAATGGATTTTTCTCTGTTGTTTTGCATTGTTTTTGCATTAGAAGCAGGTGCTTAACACTCCTCTATATGAATAAAAAATTATGTTCTCACATTGTTTTCTCAAGGGTCTTATTTTTTCTCTTGATAGCTTCAGACATGAAATAACTTGAAAATGTAGTTAACATACAGCATATTTTTTCTTAATATGCCCTCTGAGAAGTAAGTACCTTATGTTATCGCGTGTGGTTTACAGCTTTGTGTTTATAGATATTTGTGGACATCTGATGTTGAATATATTCTGAAAATTTTTCTTTAAAACAAAAACCCATCCACAAAACAGCATTTTTCTTTGTTTCCAGTGAAAATTTAGTTTTGCCCATTGCACTTTCCTGATTTCTATATTCTTTACTTTGTCACTCAGGGTCATCTCCTGTAGAATGAAGAAGGTAAAATTTTGGAAAATGTATTGTCTGGTGAAATTCTGGTAAATTTTTGGAAAATGTATTGTTGATTAACATGAACATATAAGAAGGTTCAATTCAGCATGTTTTCCTATGGGTAGGGTTTCCTGTCAGTCTGGAGAACAGCTTACATATCAGTTTACCTCTATCCAGCTATCTCATCTGCTCTAGACCTGGAAAGTTATCTTCATTAATCTTGCTGCTAGAATTTAAAACTATCCCTTGACCCCCCCCAAAATAATGTTTTAATTGGTCACTTCTCTCCTCAGACTGTTTTATTATTTTATTTTTATAGTTTTTATAGACACAGGATGTCACTATGTTGCCCAGGCTGGTCTTTAGCTCCTGAGCTCAAACGATCCTCCTGCCTCAGCCTCCCACAGTACTAGAATTACAGGCATGAGCCACCATACCTGGCCTTCCCAACCTGTTTTTAGTTATCTTCCTTGGCTTCTCACTCCTTTTGTTTACACGTATACCTATCCTCCCAACTAGTTTTTTTTCCCCTTTACCTAGAAAAGCCATTTATTGAAAGATGTTAAGTTGCTCTTCAACCCACCAGAAGAGTCAGGGTTAGATTCTGAAGGTACACAGGTAAGAACAATACCCAGTGTTACTGCCTCACTAAATTCTCAGTATCTATAAAGATGGGGAGCCTTATTTATCTATTTTTGTTCCACATCATCTAGCACCGTGATTTCTAGAATGACAATAGTAACAATAACCCTATGAAAGTAGGAATGTTATTCATGTTTTATAGCCAAAATAATAGACTTAGAAAACTTAAGGAATTGACTCACTGTCACTTAATAAATAATAGAGCCATGGGTGTTGAAATAAACATATGACTATGATTATTTAGAGCTGGAATTAATTTTAAAAATCTGTTTAGATAATATAACATTGAGAGCTTAGACTCCTGGAGCCACATGCTTCCTCATTTATTTCTAGAGGAGGAGGCAAGGAGTTTCCCCAGCCATTAAATAGCCCTTCACTGTCATTGAGCCTAATTTGGATACTGGTCATCCCTGAATCAATCACAGTAGCCAGGGGAATGGCGAGCACTGATGGGCTTGGATCTTGGGCCTCTGTTAAATTCCCTTCCCTGAATTAATAATGAGAGCAAAGGGAAACTAGATTATACTGATTGGCTTAGGCCAATAGCAGCCCACCCATTAAACCACATGGCCTCCACAGAGCAGGGCAGGCACAGAATGAACATTGGAGAAACAATCATAGTGCTAACCAGAGATGGACATTTTTGAAGCTGCAAAAGGAATGCTTCATTTTAGATCTGGACAGATCTGCCAAATTGTCTCTCAAAAAGACTGTACTAATTTATATTCTCGCCAACAGTAGATGAAAAAAATTTCTCACATTAGATATTAATAGTTTTCATTTTGGCCAGGTAGATGGGTGAAACTTATCTTGCTTTGGCTTACATTTTCTTGATTACTACTGAGGTTACACATATTCTCATATCTTTTATGTATATATATATTGGTCATTTGAATTGCTTCTGTCAATAAAATATATTAAGGTCTTTAAAATGGTAAAGCAGATTTTAGTTTGAGTATCAGAGACTTCCCTCTGTAGATGGTCTCCTATATCTGACGACAAGGCAAAAACCAGATTCAGATAATATGGTTTGGCTCAAAACATATTGTGGATAAAAAATGATTTTTGAGAAATGCAACACAGCCAGAAGAATTTTTTTTTTTTTTTTTTTTTTTTTTTTTTTTTTTTTGAGATGGTGTCTGACACTGTTGCCTAGGCTGGAGTGAAGTGGTGCAGTCTTGGCTCACTGCAACCTCTGCCTCACAGGTGCAAGCAATTCTGCCTCAGCCTCTGGAGTAGCTAGCTGGGATTACAGGTGTGCACCACCACGCCTGGCTAATTTTTGTATTTTTAGTAGAGACGGAGTTTTGCCATGTTTGCCAGGCTGGTTGCGAACTCCTGTCCTCAGGTGATCCGCCCACCTCGGCCTACCAAAGTGCTGGGATTACAGGTGTGAGCCACTGCGTCTGGCCAGAATATATTTTTAAATTACACTTGTCTTAAGTAAGATAGTAAGGTCCCCCCTTTTTTAACTGGGTTTTGGGAGGAAATAAGTCAATGAGATTAGCACATCTCCCTCCTGGGGCAGAGGGATGAAAAAGAAGCCAGTTCTGCTTGGATAGACAGGAATTATTTAAGGAAAGTTATGAAAGATCTGAGCTCTGGGATTGCACCGTTTACCTGACATCCATTTCTCCGGGATGACACCCTACTCCCTTGGCTCTGCCCAGGACTGCCCTGTGCTGACAAGCCGTGATCCAGGAGGTGGCAGTAAAGGCCCTCTCACTGCAAGCCATATCCTTCCCAAGGGCAAAAATGCTACAATCTAAGACAAATTTTAGCTGAGGGGTATTATCTGTTTCTTTTTGTCCATGCATTCAATAAATGGTCTTCTTTTTCCATTGTAAAGAGCACAGTGTTAAGGAGTGCTCAAACTATTTGAACTACAGGCTTGGCTAGGGAGAACTATAAAAGCCATCAGACAGCACTGCTAGTGGAGGGGCGCCCCCTGGTGGGTGGATGTTGTTAGCGAAACACTCCAGTAGTGCAGGTGCCCAGGTGTCTAGGAAGCAGAAGAGATCCAATGCGCTTGACTTCCTCAGTCTCTGCGATTATGTCAGGGCCTCCCTAATATTAGCAGGTGGTTGGTAACTCAGAGATCAGCAAGGCAAAGAGTGGCTAGGCAGGGGTCTAGGCTGGTGGGAGCATGGGGGTGCTGGGAAAGAGCTGTGGACTTCACTGAGAATCCCGAACAAAAAAAACAAGTTGGAGAATTATGAAAGTAAATTTTCCTCACAAAATGAAATGTTGGCGTTCGGGTAAAGGCAGAGTGGAAGGAACAATTTTACCTCCAGGTATACCAGCCTAATAAGAGTTCTGAACATCTTTGGAATTAATTTGAAACATGGTTTTCAATTGTGATGTCTGTGTAGGTGGCAAAATGTAAGTCAATCTTCATAATGCTTGAAAGTGTGAAGATTAGTCTGCATTGGCACTGGCTTTCTTTCTTGATTATATTTGGAGTGCAGCATAGGGAGTTTACATGGTGCAACCCCAGACACATTTCTAACCTTTAAAGCAGTTGGTTAATATGTGTGTTAAGTCAGCCGTCAGTGCACTCAAATTCCAAATCTGAAAAAGTGCAAGGCATAATGTTGTTTTGGGAAAATAAGCCATATGTTTTGTGTCTAAAATTTAAACCCTTGATATATTTCTCAACATGTTGATTGGAAAAACAAAATCACCAAAAAAGTGAAGAGGTAGTATAGAAAAGGAGAAATGTATTGCCAATACAGACAAAGAACTTTAAAATACCCTTTGAACAAATTTTTACTGCTATGACTCTATGAAATCTACCTCTATTCTGAGTGAGGGTGAGTATCTAACTCTCCAGGTGGAGTACATTGTGAACGATGTTTCTAGAGAAGTTAAAAAATTTATTATGTTCAGAACATGTAAAAATCTTTTTATTTAGAACATAATCCAGGAAGTAAATAAATTTTGCTGGTGGAAAATCAATTTCTCTGTGCTTCTCGAAGAGATCTTTGAAGAATGACAGTTTGAAGTGCTATCTCAAATAATTAGCCTTCCAAGGAAACCTATGAGTCTTGACTTGGCCCTGGAAGACGGGTTTTAGAAATAGAATTGGACTCAGTTTAAAAAAGAGAGAGTGATAGAGCCTGCTAATAAAAGTTTATGAGAATTAAAAAATTAAGTTGGCAATTGAATTGGAGGGTTCTCTATCTCTAGTTGCCATTCCTACCTACCCTGCAACAGACTACTGAAAGAGAGAAAATTGCATCTACAGTGAAACAGAATTCATTTTAAAAAGTCCTGAAAGGAGATTGAAACCATATATTGATGACCAGGAACTATTTTATTTGGGTGAGACAAGTGTGTCTTATCTTTCTCTCCTCAATAATTCTTTTTTTCTGGGTGAAGGTTTTTAAATCTTTTTTTTTTTTTTTTTTTTTTTGCTCTTGTTGCCCAGGCTGGCATGCAATGGTGCGATCTTGGCTCACTGCAACCTCTACCACCTGGGTTAAAGCGATTCTCCGGCCTCAGTCTCCTGAGTAGCAGGGATTACAGGCCTGACTCACCACACCCGGCCTTTGTTCACTTCTTGTTGAACAAAGACGTTCAACAGGCATGTGCCACCACGCCCGGCTAATTTTGTATTTTTAGTAGAGACAGGATTTCACCATGTTGGTCAGGCTGGTCTGGAACTCCTGACCTTAGGTGATCCACTCATCTTGGCCTCCCAAAGTGCTGGGATTACAAGCATGAACCACCGCACCTGGTCAAGATTTTGAAATCTTGAGGTTTCCCCTAATATATGTGAACTGATATGTAGAAGCAAATAGGGTTAGATAACAGGATGTTTAAAAATTCATTTATTTAACAAATATTTATTGATTGCAGAGCATGTTTTAAGTACTGGGGATAAAGAAGTGAACAAAGGCCAGATGTGGTGACTCAGGCTTGCAAGCCCAGCACTTTGGGAGGCTGAGGCAGATGGATTGCTTGAGCTCAGGAGTTTAAAAGCAGCCTGGGCACCATGACAAAACCCCGTCACTACAAAAAATACAAAA